CTACACTATGAAGTGACTGCATGACCATAGGCAGTCTCCAGGACACTCATTTTGTTCTGTTTGATTCATGCAGACAGAAAGATGGAGTTTCCATCTTTGATTCTCAAGTAATTTACAGTTATATTTGTTGAATTAATTTTGTTCTACAGAAACCATTTTGTACCTGAGAAGCTTTTGGATTGTATACCTGCCGGATGACACTGTCCAAGTAGTTTTGTACTTTTGATATGAGTTATTACTATCAAATAGTACCACAGATGCTATAAAACTAAACCATCTTTTGATATTTCTGCGATAAAAATTCTGATTATATGACTTGTTGGATTTTAACAATTTATAAAGAAGAAGGCATTGAACAAAGCAAGAACAACAAGTGTTCCAAGATAATATGAGCTCATCTTTTATTATTTCGAGGATTCTTCTCAACTGGTTACAACCTGAACGATAAAAAATATGAATTACATTAAAGATTTGAACATACTTTTCCACGATCACAAGGAAGGAAGCTGTGTTCAAAAGAAAAGATTGAGGAAGAGCTATCCATTGTGGAGAAATGCCTACGCGACAACGGTTACCCACAAAAGTTCATCGACAAGTATGGGAGACGTCATGTTGAAAAAGTGAAAAGCAGCACAGTAGAGAAAAAGCCTATCTTTCTGCAGCTTGCATTCAAAGGTGATGATACTGCTAGTAGAATAAGATGCATACTGAACACTGCCCTGAAAAGAACATATCCAGCCGCCAAGCTTGTATGTATTTATCAAACAACTAGTTGTTTGAGACAATCAAAAGTGGACAAATACCCACCTCATATTACCTCCAACTGTGTCTACCAATTTACATATACGTGCCAAAGCACATACATTGGAAGAACAGAGAGAAGGATTATTGTCCGCATTTCTGAACACATACCAAAGAACCTGAGACTGAAAGGTCCGCAAGCATTAAACAGTGCGATTGCGCCTCATCTATTGGACACTGGTCATATTGTAGACAACCTGAAGTTGTTCAAAATAATCAACAAGCAAAAGAAACCTAGCTTGCTACGCTTTGCTGAAGCAACTGCTATCAAACGACTTAAACCAAATATATGTACGCAGAAAGAGACAGTGGTGAACCTTGCACTGCCCTGGTGATAACAAAATATACAACTTTTATGAGTCACCCTTTTTCTTGTTTAGAAAACTCTACTCTCTCATCTAAACATGACTCACCCTACCTTGTTCTTTTCTTCTTTTTTCTATTGGCTATTAGATAAAACATTTTCTTTAGTTACGTAATCTACCTTTTTGTTATGCTCTTTCTAGCTAAACCTTGTTTCTATACACACACATATATACGCAACTCTGCTTTTGTTTCCAAGCCTAATTGTCTAATTATTCTATAAATAGTCAGTGTTTGTAACTCTTAATTAGTTAAATCATTCCGGACTAATGTTACTTTTACTTCCTACCAATTACTCCTTGTGATCGTGGAAAAGTATGTTCAAATCTTTAATGTAATTCATATTTTTTATCGTTCAGGTTGTAACCAGTTGAGAAGAATCCTCGAAATAATAAAAGATGAGCTCATATTATCCTGGTACAATTGTTGTTCTTGCTTTGTTCAAGTTTATTAATGCGAAGAATTGCATGAAGTTTTTAAAGAAGGCATTGATTAGTTTTCTGAATTCAGACAATCTTTGAAGCATCCGCACATAGAGCCGACATATCAACAGAGGCCGAACACTTCGTCCCAATTAATCAACGAGAAATTCCAAGTTGAGTTAAACAAAATATTTGGGATTCAGTCACTATATTTTGAGCCACAGGCGCAGATGAACTATTTTGTGGTAAGCTGTCGACTAAGAGTATCAGAAGATGTCCCAAATAGAAAATCTACTTAGAATCAGATTGACTAACACAGTATTTGAAACTCTACATTCCATGGTTCTGCAAAGAATAAGTAGGACTGGATGAAAAACAAAACCGAAAACGCTATTCAGATTTCTGGATGTATCCACCATATCTTCAAGCCCTCAATAGGTTCTGGTTCTGAATTCTGTCGAACATTAGCCATTAGTATTGACCTGAACGAGTTGTTTGACTTTATTATTCGAGAGGAGTTGAGGAAATATCCACGTATGAAGGGAGCGACGAGAATGTTGGCTGTACTATTCAAAGTACTACACTCAAATGCACTAAATTATTCTCTTTCACACACTACTACTTCATCCTTGTTTTCTCCTTCCATCAGGCGTCATTTTTTCCAAAGCGGGACAACTAAAACTGATGAAAAAACCTAAAATTGCAACAATGTAACTTCATTAAACAAGTGCAATATGCAATAGCAGGAAATATAGTTGTTTCCTAAGTGAATTTCCCATGGGATTACTGAAATTCTCTACATTAGAATTCTTGTTAATACTGCAAAACAATTGTTAAACATACTATCCATTTTCGTACTACTAACTCGATTGTCTCAGATTAAATTTGGATTTTTTTAAGTACTTGAACTGCTTAGTTCAGCATCTTTTGTCAAACCGACTAGTAAGTGCTTGGTCCTGGGATCCAAGACAGTCACATCTGCTGCATAATAGACAATAATGTCATCTGACTTGTTGAACTATCTTTGATGATGAACAGTCACTAATCGCTTACTTACTAAATATACATTATCATTTATTATTATTATTTCCTTGGGTTCCAAGTGGAACATAGGGCTTCAACAACACATCTCCACTTTCTTCTATTTTCTGCTGTCCTCTTCACCTAAGTCCACCCTCGCCCATAATCTATCATCTCCTCCTACTCCCAACATGATCTCCTCCATGTCACCCTCGCACCGACGACCCACTCATCGCTTCCCATTCGGATTCCACTCAAGCGATGGCCTGCATTGCTTGCGATATCATTCGATGGCCTCCTCAACGTATGCCCGATCCATCTCCATTTTCTCCTACATATTTGTTGAGCAATCGACTCTTGGTTGTTTTGTTCATTGCCAGAGTTTCTTGTTACTAATTCTTTCTGGCCATTTGATCTTCAGTATGGAGCCAGCAAAGGCAGTTGTTGGTGAAAGTCTGCAGCCACCTGTTGGAAATCCTTTTCGTGACGCGTAGTGCAAGTTTCTCACCCGTATAGAAGAGCTGACTGACTTCACATTGGTGTTGAAAATCCGAATCTACTTCCTTATGCTGGCTGAGTTAGTGCAGAAGATTTCCTTGCTAGTTCCAAGTTGATGAATGCATATCTTGCCATTCCGATTCTGGCTGGCTAGCTTTGACATCTTCATCCCTTCCGACTGCCTGTAGTTGAAACGATGCTTCCTAGCCGGATAAGTGAAGGAGGTAACCTAATTCGAATCTCTCCCGTTGATGGTGATTGGTGCTGGTTGTTGTTGTTGCGGCTTGTTGGTTATCTTCATCACCTCCGTCTTCTCTATGTTCACCTGGAGTCTTGTCTTCGCTGCCTACCTCTTCTACCAGTTTGTTGCTTTTCGCCTGCAAGTCTTCAAGTTTGTATGACATTAAACAAAAGTCATCTGAGAAATCCAGATCTTCTAGAGTCTTTTTATCCGTGGTCCAGTGTATTCCTGTCTCCTCACTCCCAGCTTATAGTTTGATGCATAATCCAGTCCACCACAATTAAGAATATCATCGGTGATAATAGACAACCAGCCTTGTCTTACTCTTGTATGCACTTCGAACGCCTCACTGAGTTTTCCGTTGTGGACCATCTGACTGTCAAGTGGCATTGTCATAGAGCCGGCTGTTGAATGAGGTTGATAAAGACTTGGGCAGTGCACACCGTAGTGTTGAAGCGGTTTCCAAATCACTTCAAAGTCAATGAAGTTAAGATGGAGGTTTGGCTGGCATTCTATGCTTTGTTCTGTGATGACGATGCGTAGAGTTGCAATTTGATCAGCACATAATTTGCCTTTCTAGCTTGTTCCGGCGGGTGGAGTTCTGCATCCAGTGCATCTCTTATTCTCTGCAGGATGACGCGACTTAGTATTTTGCTTGGCATGGACAAGAGCATTATTGCACGGTAGTTCTTCCACAGGCCTAAGTGGCCCTTCTTTGGTAGTTTGATAAAGTAGCCAGCCTTTCTTCCAACCGGTAGGCACCTTTTTTCCTTCCAAACCTTTTGCAATAATGGCGTAAGCATATCTGCTGCAGTCTCTGGGTCCGTTTTGAGCTCTTCTTGGTGGTGGGACTAAATATACAACTAACTGACTCAGAGATGAAGTGCCCACTTGTTCTAATGGGATCCGCTAAGTTGGGTATGACTACAAATACTCACCGATGGGACTGATTCAAATCGCCACCCACCATAAACCACTAATTAACAAGACTTAGAATTAATGGCCCTTTTGCTGAACCGTCAACGAGTTCGCCATGTATCGTGAAGGATTTTGGCTTTACCTCCAGTGAGGTCATGCTGAAGAATTTCAAGGAAACATTAGTATCCGCAACTCTCTGATTTCTATTGCTCCTCTAATTAATGTCCGTTAACACTTGAAATTTTAAGACATACGTGTTACAAATAAAGTGCACAATTCCCACCTCACTAATTTTTTTCACGTTCCGAGTGAAATAAAAGGGCTTCAAGCTTAACTTTTGAAGTTTTACAAGGTGGACTTGGAAGTCTCACGCTTAACTCTCCCTCTTTCCCAGCAAGACGAGGTTTAAGAGCACGTTGGCAAAGAATCGATCCCGGACCATGTATGTAGCTGGAGTACACCTGAATCACTGACACACTTCACTAATTAATGGCTATATCATTTATACAACTGTTCACCTCAATAAGACACGATTTCGATAGCAAAAACATAATCATAGATATTAATCAAGTGTACTACCATTTCTTTTTTTTTTGATTCATCAACAATAATCTCATATATTAGAGAAAGTTCACTTAAGATTGATCAAAAACAGCCTGTATTGAATGAACTTTCTAAGCAATTCTTCTTCTTATTATTATTATCTATTATGAATATTCATTCTATTATTGTATTAACTAAGATCCTGCAAGTCGAACACACAGATCACTTAATAACACTTCATGTGTATCTGGTGATTTACCTTTCATATCTAAATTTAATCTTGCTCTTAACTGTGATGAATTATATTCAGCTAAATGAAGTAATGCAGCATCTTGTACTTGTGGTAATTCATGTTTCCGTGCTAAATAATAACATAATACAGCTGAACCACCTTCCATAAATTTATACATCCATTTTTCACATTTTCTAATCACATTTGGCATTTGATACTCTTTTGCCATATCCATCAACCCTTCAACATTATCTGCTGTTATCACCATATCACTATTAGGATATATAAATTTTAAAAAATTCAATACAGTCTCATAATCAAATGGTATAGATATAATCGGGCCTATATCCCCTGTATTCAATGCTGATGTATTATGAAAACGTTCAGCAAACCATGGTGAATTCATTGCTAATACTTGACGATGTGAAAACAATCGACGATTATTTGGATCTTGTGGTAATAACTGGACATCAGAAAAATCATCAGGCATTGTAAAATCTGGTTGTCGAACAAAACGTTTTGTTTTCACTGGATGACAACATGCTGTAAATACTGGAAATTTAAACCATATCTTGGTAATATTCACGCGTATTTCAACTTTTTTCACTGTACCTAATGTAACCCAACGTTCATTCATTGCTTTCGGTGGTAATGTAGACGTTAACCATGAACTACCTTCAAATTTATACTTTACAACCCAATGCATACCAGCAAATTGGATACAAATTTCACAATCAGCTCTTAAATAACTTGGAAAATCAAATGCTATTCTAGGTTGATATTGATTTGGTGCAGTTTGATAAAAAAATATAATCCATGATAAACCAGGAATTTTAGGATGACTAACCATTACTTGTGCTGGTTGATCATTTAAATTAATTTCACGACAACATAATAAGAGTAGATCTTGTTCATTAAATGTAAAATCACCACAATTTGGTCCAGTTTCATCAGTTAAAAAATGCGATAGAACTGTTCCACCAGCGTACTTTGAATTCATCACTTTATCTTCTTCTTCTTCAATGGACAAGTAGTAGTAGTAGGAAAATAAATTAGGTTTAAGGGAATATTGATTAACTATTGATCAATTGAATTGTAGCATTTAAATCTTTTATGTTCACTCAAGGTCATTTAATACTCTTAAGTAATGAATGTATTTTATTATATTACTATTATTTTCTTAGATTCTGAGTGAAACACTGGGCTTCCAAAGCACATGTCCACTCTATCCTGTTTTCTTCAGCTGGCACCAAGATTACCCAGAGGTCCTCTCACTTGGACGTCCAACTCGTCGTATTTAGACAGATAAAATTTTCAAGTATTCAAAATTCCATTCAACTTAATTGTCCCAGCCAAAGTTTTCTGAACGCTGGCCACTTTGAAAGGCTTTAAAATGCTTATAAAAGGTAATCCGAGCAAACTATGTTAGATGTCGTCTTCAGTACTGTATACAGGCTGCCATGATGTGTTCATGCTTCAAGAAGAAGGTACTAGTTTTGCAAAAAAAGTACATGGGTTAGACACGAAACTAGTTAAAGGAATTTCACATGTTCCATATGACAAGAGGATGGAAAGTTTAAACCTGTTCTCATTACCATACCGTAGTAGGAGAGATGACTTCATTGTGGTTTATCGTATATTGAATGGTAACTCGGATATTATTGACCTTTCTAACCTCTTCTTTACTTCCAGGATATCTCTGTTTTTCATTACCGTTTTGTGGTGATATCCCAGTGATCCGAGGATGAGTTTCATATTCTTGAAGCGGATGATCAATACCAGACTAAGTTTTGCCTTCAGTAAAGTTGTTTCTCCAAGGAGATATATTCTGTTACGTCTTATATTTGGTTTCATGCAAACATCGGTTCGTACAATCATGTTGTTCACAGTCTAGTCTTGATGTTAGACAGCTGGATACAATTAGCAGGATGCCCTGCCTTACCTAGGTTTTGTGTTTGTTGCTTCTTGAAGGAACTCATGCCTCCCCCCCCCCCTAAGATTCAAACCAGCATTATCCAATGCTCAGCCAGAGACGTTACCGCGGAGGTATTCAGGCTCACGACTGATCTCCTGTAAAACTTTAATGGATACTTTCACTGGTCACTAAGCAACAACTAATGTCATGCCTCTAGTCATCTGAATTCTACCAGTTAATTTCGCTATGTCGTCACTTACCTAGGCGGTTGGAGGCAATCGGCAGGAAGCGCAAATAGCTCAGTGGTAACGTCTCTGACTGTAGCACTGGCTAACAGAGGTTCGAATCTCAGAAGGAACATGAGTTCCTCCAAGACTGTAGATATGCTTTGATGACAAGTGTTCCAGCAGGTACGAAACCTGAGTCCTAGGCTTCCTGCCTATCACCTTCAGCCATCTAACATCAATTCAGAAGGCACTGCAGTGGCGACCACATTGCAAACTTGTTTGTGGTAGGATTCAGTCTGCACCACACCAAGGACTAGACGTATAACATTCGTTATTACCTAATGACCAAAATGAAGTTTGGTCTACTTAAATTAAAAAGAAGTAGATATGTAATGGATTCAATGGGAGAGAATAATCATTGAGAGTAATAACGTCCATATATTCTGTCTGATACCGTATTATAATTTTAAAGTGCAAAAGAATTGTTGAGCCTACAGCTAACAGATATGCAGTACATAAAACGTTAAGTGAATTCAAGCTGTTTCTCAGTTCAAACATTTTGTGTGGGTGTGGACAAAGTAACTATTGAGTATTTCAGGACCAACGAATGAATGTACAAGATTTGTAACTCAGATGGAAGACTTTCATCTGATTGTGTTCTGTGAACTGTATGGCTTTGTACATCTACACTCGAACCAAACTACCAACCTCAGAAACAACAAAAAATTCGTCCGAATATATATATATATATATATATATATATATAATATTTCTGAAATAACGGCTAGAATACTTAAATCATTCGTAATGAATATCGTACACAGAGCAACACAATCACTTCACTCAACATTATGTAGACCTACACCTCAGTAAAAAGAAAAGACAAGACCAATTTATTTTTTTTATTGTTCCCTTGGGTTCCTAATGGAACATAGGGCTTCAACTACACGCCTCCACATGTTCCTGTCTTTTGCTGTACTATTCACTTGCATCCATGTTAGTCCATATTGTTTCAACTCTTCTTCACACGATCTCCTCCATGTCACCCTTGGACGTCCCACTCGCCGCTTCCCTTTCGGGTTCCACTCGAGCATTGGCCTGACGCGCGATGTCACCCAACGGCCTCCTCAGCGAGTGTCCAATTCATCTCCACTTTCTCCCGCATATTTGTTGAGCGGTTGGTTCTTGTTTTGTTTGTTCCCATAGTTTCTTGTTGGTGATTCTTTCCGGACATCTGATCTTCAGTATAGAACGAAGACAGCTGTTGATAAAGGTCTGCAACAGGCTGTTGGAAATATTCTTTGTGACACACTGGCCAAGTTTCTGATCCGTATAGTAACACTGAATTGACGTTTGTATTGAAAATCTGAATTTTGTTGTTGATGCTGAGTTGAGTGACGAAGATTTCCAAATTGGTTTCAGATTGATGAATGTGTTTCTCGCCTTTCCGATTCTCGATTTGACATCCTCGTCCGTTCCTCCTGTAGTTGAGACAATGCTCCCTAGATAAGTGAATGAAGTAACCTCTTTCAAATCCCTCCAGTTGATGGTGATTGGCGGTGGATGTTGCTGCTGGTGTTGTTGTTGTTGTTGGTTAGTTGCTTATTTTCATAACCTCCGTCTTGTCTATGTTCACCTGGAGTCCTGTCTTTGCTGCTTCTTCGACCAATTGTCGGTTTTCGCTTGTAAGTCTTCGATTTTGTGTGACATCAAACATAAACATATTTAGTAGATGGTATTGGCCTTGTTGCAAGACTAATACCATCTACTAAGTAAATTGCATGGATTTTCGAAAGCATTATACTGGTCAAAGTGAACGTTTTCATCACCGGTCAGTCTACACTCTCTTTCGTGGCTCAAACTAACTGTCAACGACTTCATGGACTGATGCCATGTCTTGATCATACCTAATTATTTTCCTACCTAACTCTATGACAGCTAACATTACTCGCTGAAAGAGACGGTGGCTCAGTATCCGTAACATATTTCCTAACCATCTCAACTGATTCACCTCCATAACGTCATCCACTTACTTTCCCTCCTTACCTAACCTCAATATTACTCACCCTATTATGCCACTTAACACGGGAAACAAAACACAAACATCTCTGGTCAAAGACAGCTAATTTTTTCAAACCTTTCACTCCCCAATCATAGGGGAGAACAGAGAGAACTGCTGAGCATTACACACGTTCTTTTACCACCATCTGGATATGACGTCTATTTCAAACATGATTTAAGTTAAAAAATGCCAAATGTCGCACAAGCAATTGGTATCCATGTTGAGATTTCGTCAGCAATCAGTCCCATTAGGGTTGATGATACACTCTACCACTTCAATCCTTATCTTTAAACTACGACTCGGTATAGTCCAGTCCTGAGAATCAATTGCCAAATATTTACAGGCCGCTGTTCAAGGTGTTTAGAATACTCTACATCTTATCAGCGTCTTCATCTAGGAGGACGATATTCTAAGTCATTGAGACAACTACACCGAAAATTCCCCAGTGTGATGTTACGTAATCTGGAGAAAGAACTCAAAAAACCACTTCATTTAATTTTCTCCCTTTACAAACATGAAGAGTGCATGAACAAACAAATAAATCTGATGCTCACTAGCAAATAGCGTTATTCAGGAAGTCAACCTTGGGGTTACAGTGGAAAGCCGTGACCAGCAGGATACAACAGGTTGAAAGTGAAACAGTAACTTATCGAAGAAGGCATTGTAAAGTAGTTGCGTGATGTCATGAATTGGTAGAAAGTAGAATTTATGGGCCACTAGATCGGGTCCTAGTGGCTTAATGGTCTACGAGCTAGCTCGCCTTGTAACCGGAAGGTCCTAGATTCAAACCCCGCAGTGAGGGTGCGTACTGATGAAGAGTCCCAAATTAGGAAGAAACACCTACCCAGTACTCCCAGGTTTTCCAATGGTGCTCTAACTGATATCACCTCATGATGAAATCCTCAAACCAATCAAGCAAAATCCCTACAAAACCAACACCTGAGAAAACAGAATGTTTATGATGTCATTTTATTTCGTCTGTCCTTGCCGGTTGTCAAGAGAAAAGCTGTAGTACAACACATTGCATATACAACTGAAAGTTTTAAAAAGTAATTACTAATAATAACAATGCCAGTAATACACTTAAAAATTATCCCAAAATGATTGCAACACACCACTATGACAAAGTTTAAGAGCTTTTACAATACGATGCTGTACAAATTGTTTAATAATTTGTATGACAACACAAAAATCATGCATATGTATCCATTTTATTGTATCGTCTTCATTCTTAGACACAGTCTGCACTGCATAATATTCTCTCCAATGGTCAGGATTTTTCAATACAGTATAAAATATACTCGAGTCTGTTTCAATTAAAGCAGATAATTCACAATCCATAACACTGTCGAGTATATTATCATCCAAGGAGGTATACTGTGTTGATTTACATTTCTTGATAAATTTATTCACATCATCAGGATGAATTCTTGGCCAACGAGTAATCAATATATACTTCAATAAGGTGAAAAATTCTTTGAAATTTATTCCAGCCAGTGCACGTAAACACGTCTAAAAGTGATAATTAAAAAAAGTAGAAATAGAAAATAGAGATGAATAAAACATTTATAGTTAGTTCATTTTAAAAATTCATGAATAATCCTCATCCAGATATATTAATGTGAAAACAAAACACGTAGTAGTTCAGTGAAGAGTCTCTTTTCGCCGGCGAATTCATTCACTTAGCTGTACAATCGCAACTATACATACTTATTTGTGTGTGTATACATTAGGTTTTCAAGTATTGGTTTTGTAGGGATTTTTTTGTCTCATTAGTTGGACGATTTCATCATGAGATGACATCAGTTAGACAACCATTGGAAAACCTGGGAGTACTGGACAACTGTTTCATCCTAGTTGGAGACTCTTCGTGAGTGGGAAGCCATGACCAGTAAGGTACAGCAGCTTGAAGGTGAGGAAGTCACTCATCGAAGAAAGTATTGAGGAGTGGTCACGCTATGTCGTGAATTGCAGAGGTTAGAATTCATGGACTGGTTATTGGATCGGGACCCAGTGGCTTAACGGCATACGAGCTCAAATTGTAACCAGATGGTCTTGGGTTCGAACCCCGGTGTGTGCGTACTGATGATGAGGGCCAAACTAGGATGAAATAGTAGTCCAATACTCCCTGGTTTTCAATGGTTCTCTAACTGATGTTAGCTCATGATGAAATCCTCCAACCAATCATACATTAGTTTTGTCTGATAAGAATAAATATAAATTAGGGTTATTGTTGTCAAGACATTTCAAAAATGTGATGAGTAATCAAAGTGCAACTAGGGGGGGGTAGTGAAGATTAGTAAGAGGGTAGTGGTGATGTCTTCTCAAAAACAAACATAATTATTAATTTTCAAGAGTTGATTTGTAAGGATTTTATTTGTTTTTCGGGTTAGAATACGGATTGATATCAGTTAGAGAACCATTGGAAACCAGGGAGTACTGGACAGCTGCTGTTTCATCCTAGTTTGGGACTCATCATCAGTACGCACCCACTGGGGTTCGAACCCAGGACCCTCCGGTTACAAGGCAAGCTCGTATACCATTTAGCCACTGGCACCCATTTAATCAACACATAAAAGAAGTTGAATGAATGCAATACAGTTACACAATAGGATGAATAGTTTAATGAGTTGTGATTAGGATGCACAGATTCAAAGGAAAATACGGCATTATGTGAGAGTTCTATAAATTACAAATGTTACAAGGAGTTAGAAAAAAACAGCAAAACAAGCACACAAACATCAAGTCAGTAGATGTCAACACGGTTGTTACCATGACAGTAGAAGTGGTTGGATGATTTTCTTTTGCATACATAACTGAATGGCTAACGCTTCAGCAATACAAAGGAGACGAAAGCGTATTGCCTTTGGCAGATTGTTCTTCACTTTATAGATCACTTTGAAGGAGGCGTTTGTTGAGACGGAATGACCAATGCTGATGAGATGTTCGATTATCGCATCCGTTATACAGCCACTATTACCTTTTTGTAGCCATGCGGGATAATGTTCTTGAACCCTTTTGGACGGGATAATTGATTAGCCATCACATTTTTGAAATGTCTTGACAACAATAACCCTAATTTATTTTTATTCTTATCGGACAAACCTAATTTACACACATACATACAAAATTAGGTATATATAATTGCGATTGTACAGCTAAGTGAGTGAATTCGCCGCCGAAAAGAGACTTTGCTGAACTACGAATTTTAAAAATATCATAAATCATGAAGGAATTAGTGTAAAATGAATACTAACGAATATGAAAATATTCCCCGATGAGCTACACAAACTGTTTAATGCTTTCTTATCAAATACAGTTTTGAATCTAGTTTTCTCCATGCATTTTTCATGTTCAGCATGCACTAATAAACGTAACAAATACAACATTTTGTTCCCTTTTGGGCAGCATATTTTCAATAACAGGCAGTAGCACAGATGACAGAGGATATGCGAGACAGCTAGGATAGATCTCGGGTACGCAATAGCGGTTAGGACTCTCGCCGACCATGCACATTGTCCGGGGTTCGATCCCCGGCCGACGCACTCCTTTACCTCGCAAAGCCAGAAATAATGCTGGTAAAGAGGAAAGGTTGGGCATGAGGCTAGCAACCCCATCCTGTAAAAATTGAACACTGCTACAGAAACTTCAAGCCACTAGTTTGAGACTCTATGTTCCACTGGGAACGTGAAGGAAAAAAAACGCAAAAAAGGAGACAGAAATTTATTATTTTGAAATCAAAGAGGAAATCTCTGCAGCATTCACTCAGCACACTAATGTCAAGCTAGTCAATGCTTCTGTATGCTTTACAGAATTGGCGCTCGCATCACTGAAAGTACTTCCAACACACTAAAAACTTTCATAAGCAGCTGTCTCCGGTCACTCGACATGAAAAAGACCAGATAGATGGGCAGCCAGAAAGGATAAGCAACAAGGAACTCTGGTAGGCAGCGAAACAGTCAACCCACCAAATATACGCTGAGGAAACATTCAAGAACAGACAACATACACCAAGACTGACTCAGTTTCAACGTTAGACTTTGTATAGGATTGAAACACGTCAACTGACCAATCTCCATATATCACGCAGAGTTAGACAACAGAACTAGAATAAACAGAAATGTGTGAGAGAATGAATACCAACATGGAAAAACATGACAGTTTAGTGGATATAAGGGAGATCACAAAGAGTGCCATTGAGAACGATTTTATGCCATATAACAAACAGTCTCCAACCAATAGTTCTTAGCACCTCAAGGACCACAATCAGACAGCCTACACCTAGTTACATGGCTAGCGCAAACCAACAGTCAAAGACTTTTTCTGGATTGATTTCAGGTTTTGATTTGGTAACACCTAACACTCTTATCCAGCCTAATTCTATGTCAGTCAACAATGCTCGTCAAGGAAGGAGAGATGGCTCGGATTGCACAACATGTGTTAAAGCCATCTCAATCGATGTGGCTTCACAACCTCATCGATTGATTTACTCTTCAAAACTAACACTCTACACCTAACCTCAATATTATTCACCATATTATACCACCCAAAAAGGGGCAAAAGACAACTAATGACTACGTCTCGCAGCCACATCAAGTCGTCGAGTGGAAAGTAATGAGTTCAGCATCCGAGGGTGACATGGAGGAAGTCATATGAGAAGGAAATTGAAGCTTAGATATAAGGCAGAAGATTTGTATCTCAGGTGGATGATTTTGATGTATTTGTGTTCTCTGAGCTGGATGGTTTACTTGCGAAGCTGTCATTGCCCTTCTAGGCAACATCTTCAACGCATACTTCAATTTAAAGTGTACCAATACATTATGTAAATTGGAATACAAGCAAATTGTCTAACTAGCTATTATACACCATTATGCAGTGATGCACCACGTTTCAAAGTGTACCAGTGAAAAATACGATGCGGAAATGAAGACAATGCAACTTTCCGATGTATTCTACTAATACTGTGGTGAGAGCTGTCTGCTAGCCAAATTAGTAGACAGCAATTTAGGTCAATGTTTACGTCCCAAATCTTGGTCATAAGAAAAGAACAAGAACAAAGACTAACTCAACAACCAATAACAGCAGACTTTGCGTGGGCGGATACGATTCGCAGATATATGGTCTGACCTTTAAAGAAATGGCCACAAAGAGATGACAGAATAACTTTCAGCGAGAAAACAACCAATCAGAAGACGCTATTTCTCTGTTAATAATAACGAATAATAATGTACATAAAAATCTATTAATATCTCTTGATTTCTTCAATAAACGACCTGTTGCCTGACCCTTGTCTTCTGTCGTTACAATAGTACTGTCGATTGAGAGAAGTCACTTGTATACGATGAAGTCATTGGTCAAATACTCAGAATGAAACTCAATAAAGATAGACAGCGAAGCAAGAAAAGTGCTAACTACATCTAATCACCACAATGTGATGGCTAGGAGAATATAAAAATGGAAACTTCAAGGTGACGACATTAAAATACAACAGTAAATAAATTTTAACTTATTGAGTAATTATGAGTACTTTAGTTGACCTGGACCTCAAATAAAATTTGTTTATTTACTGTATTTCTTTGAAAATGTTTCTGCCCTAATGTAGCAGCCATTATTACTTCAATGGACGTGTAGGTGGTTCACTGGTAGAATCCTCGCCAACCATCCACGTGGTTCAGGATTCGACTCCCGGTCGACACACTCCTAAACCGTGCTCAGTCGGCAGTAAGCTCAGTAAAGACGGAAGAGTTGGGTGTGAAGCTGTCAGCCCCACCTCGTAAGAAAATACCAACGTTACTGAAATATCAAGACGTAAGCTAGGACCCCTTTTTTTCACCCGGAATGAAAGATAATTACGTAACTGGCAGTGAAACCTTCAAGATATTCCTTTTCATTTACAGACAGAGGTATAAAATCATCAGACACTTTTACTGGAATCTAATAATCCAGCACGACAGTATCTGGTACGTTACAATCATTTATGATTCAGGTTTTTCATGAAAAGAAGCTTCATCCTGTTACAACCCTCTTCAGTAAATTCAACGTTTGAGAATCACTTTGATATGGATAACATGACATGTGTGTACAAGGTTATATGCACTGTTAAGTAACAATAGTAAACATTGTTTTTTGGAAATTATAATAAAGATCAATTACTTGACATTCTTCATGCCATCCAGGAATTGAGGAAACATCTTTAGTTGATTCTTCAACAGCTTCTAATTGATCCTTTAAATGATCCCAAACATAATTTACATTTGTAGCATTGAACCAATTATGATTGATTGAAATACAATCTGTCTAGATGTTGTACATATAGATGTGAATGAATAAATAAATAAAAGACTTTATGATGTTTGAGGATTCAACGAAGATAAACAACTAACTATTGCTACCATATCGTTATAAGCATTGAAATGTGTGAAAACAGAGCACAAAGCCGAAAAGTTCTCCAACATGGAATCGATAAACATTTATGTAGTATGTAAGGATATTGGAGAACAACCACCATAATTGGTTACAGGATTTCATCATGAGCTGACATTAGCTAGAGAACCATTGGAAAACCTCGGAGTACTGGACAACTGTTCCATCCTAGTTTGAGACTCCTCAACAGTACGCACCCACACAACGGGGTTCGAACCCAGGACCTTCTGGTCACAAGGCGAGCTCGTAGACCATCAAGCCACTGGGTCCTCACACCCGATCTGCTGCACCCTACTGCTGACGACTTCCCACTAGAACCCAGGTAACTACCCATCTTCACTTGAAGTCCTGCCTTCACTGCTTCTTCTGTCAACTTGTTGGCCTTGGAGTGTAGGTCTTCGAGTCTCTTAAGACATGAGACACAAATCGTCCACGAAGTTAAGACCTTATACTGTCTTTTCATCATTCCATATCAGATAAATTTATTTTAAATATCACATAGCGATGCAGTATTAACAACTGGATGACGTTTCGAAAATAAATAATTGCTACTCACAATCATATCAGTTTAGTCACACCACTTCACAATTTGTCTTATATATATATATATATATTCTCTCTTTCTCTCCCTGCATCTTGCTCTTGTTGATTGTAGCCACTTTCTATATCTCCGGCATAGGCGTTACTTCGCCTCTACTAAGTTAAATAACCTGGAAGAAAGCTCAGCCAATGTATTGCATGTAATCACAGAATAGGACGGGACAAGGTGAGAGTATTAAAAAGTAATATAGCTATAGTTAGCTAGTTATATTGGCCGTACAAAGCGCACAGCTTCCAAAAGCATCTCTGAACATTATCCGGCATGGTTAGTAAAAGAACATTGCAAGACAGTTACTAGCTCCATTCTCGAGTACATGGTGAACTGAAGCCACGCAGCTCCACCAGAGTCATCTTTCAAGATCATATCCAAGGTGAGACTGAATGGTACAAACGGCATTAGGTTTCGCATTTGTGTATGACGGAAGCGTTGACAGTTCGTCAATACAACTCCGAACTCTGTTTGCGGAAAAAATTTGTCCAGTCTTTAATTTTACCGTGGTCGTTCCCTGTATATTTTTTTTACTTTTAATGATTACTTTGCTTTTACTTCAATAATTAATGTTCCTTTTATACATTTTCTAACTTTCTTCACACTTGTTAAATGGACACTCAACTACCTTTCTTCTCACTCAATAGCAATTTCAACCTTATCAAATTTCTAACCCTTTCTTCCTTTGTGCCATTGAGTATTACATAATTTGTAACTTTTATTTGTACTTTTGAAACCACTTCTGAATAATTATATCAATTATGTCACCCCCTATTACTCACTAATAGACTACTATACAATTTTGGTAAATATAAACACGACTGTACAGTCTCTGAAGATGATTTCGTCGACAAAGAAAATTCTCTTCGAGGAATTATCTTTTATTTTCTTCATAACTCAATGGGTATTTTCGGTAATATAGTTGGGTGAACAGAGAGGTTTATCACTGAAGCTCCGTTGATCGGTTCAACTCCACACACATGCAATTGGAATGAAGCAACGTTCATGCTAGAGAAAGTGGCAACAAACAACAGGGGGAAGATGGAGGGAGAGAAAATATATATAAGACGAATTGTGATGCCGTGTGACTAAATTGATATGATTATGAGCAGCAATAATGTATGCCCGAGACTTCATCCAGTTACCAATGCTGCACCACTCTGTGATATTTAAAATAAACTTATCTAATATGGAGTTATATTCTACCACACTGCCCAAGTTCTACACTTATATTAACGTCTTTTCGTCAATTTAACGTATATTTGTCTCACCACCGCCCTCCTCACAGTTCGTAGCATGATTCAACCCACTAAAACTAGGAAATGTGAACTTAACAATCTTCTGTTTATGCTTTGTATTTTATTTATTTTTTTTAAATACAAAATCAGTAGTAAACTTTAACTTGAATTAAAATATGAGTATTTTGCAGAGAGGTGTCGTCGACACACTTACCATATTTACAACCTGATGATACCATCCAGATGGGACAAAAACTACTTGCCCAGAATACTGATCAATAATGTAATATTTTACATCTTTATTTATTTTAATGGAACGTATATCAGGAGGTAACTTTCCATTTGGTAATAGAAGTTTCTTTTCTTCTCCTGAAATACAAAGAATAAAGCATTTCAACTATAAGCGCTTTAAATGAATGACAACAAAAGAACTCTTGACAAATCAATTAATTATACAGAATAAAAGGAACACAATAAGTGATCTACCTGATACCTATAAATGGTAAACAAGAAATCATACATAAATGTATGATGCCAGATACTACTGATTGACTGGTATAAGTAGCTGGATACCACTCAAACCAACCAGTAGTACATGCTAGTCAGATAAAAGTGACCTAAACACCGAACGGCCGTTTCACTCGTTCAGGACCGAGTGAAACAGCGGCGTATCCGGTTTAACTCGTCTCAGAGAGCAGAGTCACCTCAAACCACCAGAATTCTGACTAGCTGTTTGGACGAACTGGTAGAGGATGAAAAATATTGTTTTCTGTACATATAATACAGAATGCATATCATTATTACATATTCCCCCCCCCAAATATTAGACTAACATCGAAATTCGAATTATACAACAGATTTGGTTTCCTAGATATTTCAATGATGAGGCAAGATGACAGAACAACCAAACGACTAATATTTCTCAGACATATAAGATGAACTCTACGCCTAGTGAAATATTGTTTTTTCAGAGCACGTAAAATTCATACGAACGATACACTAATTTATGAGCTTGAGTGCATACAACATTCAGTTTTCCAGACTCATGGATATCCTGAAAACAGTTGATGAAATCTACCCATTGACTGACTGGTTTCAATGTAAAACTGTGCACCGATGTGCAGCAGTTCGAGTTGCTACATCCCGTGTAGCACACAAAGCAAGAGAAGAGAGTAAAAGGAAATGCAAAATAGAGACAGTAAACAGAGATATGAGGCAAAAAGAATGATAATATCAAAGAACAATATAGGTTTATTGGGTATTATAAGTCACAAGAAGTGGATGCATCTGCGCCAGCTATTGGAAACGATTTTGAACCATATCACCAATTGTTTCCAGTCTTCATTGGTTTTTACCGTCCCGAGGACCCCAACCAGTCAGGAAGTCTACACCTTCCTACGTGGCTGGCTCAAACTAACTGTTATGGATTTTATTGACTGATCAAGCCATGTTTTGATTTGATCACCACTGGCTCCTTTCCAACCTGCCAGTTACAATTGCCCGTCGAGGAAGGCAATGGCTAGGCATGCGTAACACATATCCTAACCATCTCAGTGGATGTAACTTCACAACCTCGTCTATTGATTTCCCTACCCCCACCTACCTAGCACTCGACACCTAATCACAATATTCCTCACCTTATTATACCACCACCTAACACGGGAGATAGAACGCAGACACCTATGATCAAAGATGGATAGCGTTTTCATTTCTTCCATTTTCAATGGCCATGTCTCACAGTCATAAAGGAGGATAGAGCGAACTGCTGAGCAGTACACACGCCCTTTGCTAGACAGCCGGATATCACGTCCACATCAGAGATGGAGTAAGGTGGCATATGCCAAACGAGCCTTCTATATCCGTGCTGAGATTTCGTCAGCAATCAACCCACTGGCAGTGGCTGATGCAACTCCCCAAATAAGTGAAGTGGTCAACACGCTCTACCACTTCACTCCCTATCTTTCAGCTAGGAGTCAATGTAGTCCAGTCCAATTCTGTAGCATCATCTTACATTTGACACAGGAGCGAATCGCATGCCAAACATTCGCAGATTGCTGCTCAAGGTGTTCAGAAGACTCTGCATTTTGTCAGCGTCATTGACAAGACATCAACTCAAAGGTGACTAATCATGCAGTTAACAGAATAAATTCTTCAGTCAGCCTTTTTAAGGAACTTTATCCTATTCTCTAGAAACTTTTCTCCTCCTCTGATCTACGAATTCAACTTTATTGGCTAAAATTTTGTACTAGAGTAAAGCTTGAAGATTTAACTGAAAAAAGATAGTTTGTTTATGTTTTGGGGATAATTATTGATTTAAAGAAGTAAATTAAATTTTAAATAGCACAAACATGCTCAAAAACTATGAATTCTAAAAACACTAACCAGGAGGGAAGAACCACCAACGTTTGTGACCGACTATATTTGCAGACCAACTGTATGAACGATATACATCAGCATGTAGCGTTGTCCATGTCCCTTTGACGCCTAAGTATACAAATTTAAAGTCATCTGTAACATCATTTCGAAATTCCCAAAATTCATTTAACCAATCCGATGAAAAATATTTAGGCAAGAGGAACCATTGATTATTTTCTGTATTACACTTAAAGTAATGCCAATCTTTTAAGTAAAGAATACGATCATCTTTGCCTTGAATTTTATTTCTCCAATATACACAGAAATCATCAACACTGATTTCCTGTGTAGGATGTGTATCGAATTCAATTACAGAACAATCTGCTACACATAACTTTTTATCTGTAAATAAAAAGGAATATCACGCTGAATATGATCTACCTGAAATATATTTAAATAAGTTATCTAAATCAATGTGTCCGTCATCCTCATCATCACAGTTACGCCATGAAGAACATGCTAACCAGTCTTTAGTAAGCCAAGAATCAAATATGCATAATTGATTATTTAGAAGATAGCTAGATAAAACATTTGTTTGAAAATATATCTAAATGGACATACTTGAGATAAAAATCTGCATAAGTGGTATTCTCGCTCACATTTGTGATCATCATTAGAAAAAAAAGTTATGGAAACAGTCTCTTGCAAGGAATTTGAAAACCAATACCTGAGATAAGAAGAATCAGCAGCATAATTGAGATGAGTTAATTTGATGATATTAGATAGTTGGAGGCAATCGGCCACAGGAAGCCTTCGACCTAGGTTTCGTGCTAGTTGGCACTCACCAGTCAGCAAGGCGTATCTGCAACCTTGAAGGAACTCATGTCCGTTCTGAGATTCGAACCCGCGTCACCCATTGCTGCAGATGAAGACGTTTCCACTGAGCTATTTGGGCTCGCGACTGACCTCCTTTAGGACTGTAGTGGGTATTTTGATTTGACACTAGTCAGTAACTAGTGTGATGTGTCTAGTCCTTTCTTTGGTGCAGACTGAATTCTATCAGTGCCAACTAGCACGAAACCTAGGTCCAAGGCTTCCTTCCAATTGCCTCCAACTATCTAATATCATCAAATCAATGTGCACCGTAATGGTGAGCTACCTAAAATGGTGGCCACATTGCAAACCTGGCTGATAGAATTCAGTCTGCACCAAAGAAAGGACTAGACACATCACACTAGTTACTAGTGTGATTTTGATTTTTCTGTTGATTAACTGGATCGAAATGTTCAACCTCTGTTGACATGTCAGCTCCTATTGAGGACGCTTCAACAATCTCTGAGGACCAACTTGATGTAATTTGGTGGACGGTAACTGGCAGTTTTGGCACCAGTCTTGTGATTCATATCGATTAGATGTTTCGCTAAAGACGAAGTTGTTAGTTTTATCACTTTCATCTATCCATTTTCCACAGTTCATTTGTTTTTCTAACCATTGACTACCAATCAAAATTAGTCACAGTAAATTCAGATAAGCATGTGACAAATTTGTCATTAGTTGAACTTTTAGTGTGTGACAAGGAGGTACTGTCACTTGGCTTCCATTTTTTTATCCCATTAAACAATATCTCAAACTTAGCAATGGATTCCAAGTTTGACAATCTATATGATCAATTAAGTTCTATAGTTTCTATCTCGACAGAGGACCAAAGGTACTTGAAAACTGAATTGGTAAGTGTAGCAAATCAATTCCATAACCCATTTCAAAGAAATTATGTAGCATACCCAATATAAATATCCTGAAACGTAATAAAGTATCAGGTGCAGTTATAATGGACACGTGATTATTAAAAAAAAAATGTTGTCCATTCTTAATGATAAAAGTGAATTCATAACCGACGTCCCTTCTTATGATATCAGAAAACTGGAACGGACAGTAATATCCCACTTATTAAAACTCGGTGGCATGCATGTTTTTTAATAAATAAGAGTTTAATTCATTGAAACCCATGGGATCTGACTTTCAAAACCGTTATGGATTACCCAAGATCCAAAAAGTTGACAGTCCACTACGTCCAATTCTCCCACACACAAAATGACAAAATGGATAGCAGACATTTATAGCCCAGTACCCAATAAATTCGCTCTCAAAGAGATATTTAAACCTGCTAACTGTCCTGTAGAGATGAATCTAAACTACATGAAAGTGTATCACTGATATAAGAATACAAATAAGGAAATGAGGCAAAAAATAATTCCAGTATGTAGACAATCTATTTTCAAAAAGTCTCTGATAAAGGAAACTCGACAGCAGTTACGGATAAAACTGAATATCATAGAATTTAAAGTTGTAAAAAAGGAATTGATTCCTAATCACACGCGGAACAAGTGAAATGATACCGGGGACAATTAAAAGTGAGAGTAGTAATAGTAACAATTGACGTAATAAAGGAAGAGTATACAAATTAGATAAACAAAAATCAGAAAATGAAAAATTGGTAGAGCTAAAATATGATTGGGGATTACCATACTTTAGCATAGAGGGATTAAGACCATGAAAGTTGGAGGGGTTGAACGAACTTTTTCTGTACACAGAGATATGGCTTTTCTGTTTCGATAGCCAAAGCTTCAGCAATACAGATGAGTCGGGTACGTAGGGATTTGGGTAAATTACTCTTTGCCTTGTAGATGACTTTGAAGGTGGAGGCTATAGAGATAGGGCGATCATTATCGACCAGATGTTCAATGATCGCGCTTCTTATTGCTCCACTTCCACCTTTTCGTAACCATTCAGGATAGTGTTCTTGCACCCTCTTGGTCAAAACTCGTATCGAACGACCGATATACCTAGCTCCACATGAGCAGGTGAATTGATAAACACATAGAGTTGGTCAACAGCGGGATCTTGTCCTTCAGGTTATTGAACAATAATGGTCGACTAGTAAAGGCTATTCTCAGAGAGGCACCAGGGAATATTCTTTTCAGGGACTGTGATATCCTTCGTTTCATGATATCGGGAGCCAAGTCCCCTTTGAATTCCAAGCTCATGTAAAGTATTTTCTTGGGTACGGTTGATGAGCCACGTTTTTTAGGATTTGAATGTATATTCTTATCTATAAAACGTGGTGGAAATCCATTTTCTATTAGGATTTTCCTCAAGATGTATAACTCATCTTCCACAGTATCAGGGCTACATATGCGCCGAATACGAGTGGCAAGTGACCGGATCAGGTTTCGTTTTCGACCAATGGGTACCCAGATGTAGAAATTTGTCAGTTGACCATTCCATGACACCTTACGATAAATCGATCTCTTCAGAGTTCCATCGGTCCTCCTTGATAAGTTCACATCGAGGAAATGAATGCTAAACTCATTCTCCATTTCGAGTGTGAATTTTATCGCCGGATGGCAACCATTAAATACATCTAATATATTATTCAAGTTACAATCACTATCACAAATAATAAAGGTGTCATCTACATACCTTTTATACACTTGAAAGCTTTAGATTATAGGCTTCAGCTGACCATTTTCTAGACTGGACATAAAACAGTCTGCAAGGAGAGGACCCAAGGGAGAACCCATTGCAATACCATCCTTCTGTCTGTAGATTGCTTCATTGAAAGTAAACTGTACATTCAATGTACATCTCAGAAGTAGTTCTTTCATATCTGTAGTGGGTATCCCTATATTCAATTTGTTGTCTTCAATATATTTGCATATTTGTTTCTGTCAGTGGAACGTTCGTAAATAGGGACTCTACATCCAAAGACAACATATGTTTATTCGACGCATTTATATCCTGTATACATTCAACAAATTGAAAGGTGTCCCGAAGGAAATGATTAGATAGCTGTCCCTGACAGGTTCGAGGATTTCAGCTAGCCATCCAGCTACTGGATGATAGGGCGATCCAGACATATCCAAGATAGGGCGGAGTGGAAGGCCAGCTTTGTGTATTTTCGGTAGACCGTAAAGTCTTGGTATTAGAGATCCTGTTGGTCTGATCTTTTCGTATAATTCTTCACGAATGAGATGATTGTTCTTCATTCTTATTGAAGCTTCTGTAAGTTATTTCTCAATTAATTCCGTCTTATTTTTCTCGTTCGGTTTCGAGAATTTACTGCTGTCTGAAAGTAGACATGACATTTTTTCGATATAATCTTTACGATCCATAATAACAACACCTGCACCCTTGTCATGGCGTGTTAATAATATATCGTTGTTATGCGTCAAAAGTTTAAGTTCTTCTTTGTGCTGTTTGGTCAGAAGACTTTGCATTTTTGATCTAGCATTAAGGTATTGATTGCAAGAGTCAGTGATGGTAGATTTGAAGCATTAGAAATCCTGGTCTGACGATGGTGTGAGATCATAAGTTTGACTGAGTAGATTCTCAAACTGGACATGTGTATGTAGCTTGTTGACATTGAGATTAACATCGCAAAACTTCGAACCCATTGACAAGGCTTCCATTTGCAATTTTGATAGGGATATAGAGGAGTGGTCGAACACGTATCTCTCAGAATTCTCAGGAAATTTTCGAAGACATTCGATAGATTTTAGGCTATTAGATAGCGTAGAATTAAAAGACAGTGTTTGTTTGTTGGTGACCACGTTGACATATTCATTAAACGTCTGACGTTCATCAATGGATAAGTCATATAGAGCAGAAGATCTTTGCGATATATTCCTTTCTAACTCAGGGATACGTGAACTAATAGAGTCAATGTGATTTAATGTGTGTCTCTTGAGAGATTTTGCATTAGGATATATGTGATTGCAATACCATTTCGGATACCCATGATTATTGATGCATTCATTAATAAAACAAATCTCCGCATTCACCACGGCAAGTTTGACAGAGTAACGCAGAAACCCATTGAGTTCCTTTACTGTCGAGGGATCTTTGCTATTTTTTAAATCATGGAAAATTCCTATTGTAACATATATGTTTCTGCGTTACTCTGTCAAACTTGCCGTGGTGAATGCGGAGATTTGTTTTATTAATGAATGCATCAATAATCATGGGTATCCGAAATGGTATTGCAATCACATATATCCTAATGCAAAATCTCTCAAGAGACACACATTAAATCACATTGACTCTATTAGTTCACGTATCCCTGAGTTAAAAAGGAATATATCGCAAAGATCTTCTGCTCTATATGACTTATCCATTGATGAACGTCAGACGTTTAATGAATATGTCAACGTGGTCACCAACAAACAAACACTGTCTTTTAATTCTACGCTATCTAATAGCCTAAAATCTATCGAATGTCTTCGAAAATTTCCTGAGAATTCTGAGAGATACGTGTTCGATCACTCCTCTATATCCCTATCAAAATTGCAAATGGAAGCCTTGTCAATGGGTTCGAAGTTTTGCGATGTTAATCTCAATGTCAACAAGCTACATACACATGTCCAGTTTGAGAATCTACTCAGTCAAACTTATGATCTCACACCATCGTCAGACCAGGATTTCTAATGCTTCAAATCTACCATCACTGACTCTTGCAATCAATACCTTAATGCTAGATCAAAAATGCAAAGTCTTCTGACCAAACAGCACAAAGAAGAACTTAAACTTTTGACGCATAACAACAATATATTATTAACACGCCATGACAAGGGTGCAGGTGTTGTTATTATGGATCGTAAAGATTATATCGAAAAAA